CTTCGCCATATCCATGTTTGAGTCGACTCTCTCATAGTAGTCCTTTTTTACAAGGACATTACGATTGATACCTTCAATCTTGCTTTTCTTACAAGTCTCCCATGGTCATGACACATTAAGGGGTTATATGTACTAAGAATGTCAAAAAAAGAGATATTGAAACACTCAAGTTCATTTTTAATAAATCTTGATAATTGATTTTGAAAAAAAGAACTTTAAAAATCATTTTTTGTTTATTTATTTATTTTTTTTTTTTGTGTAATTTACTGATTAAAATTCAATTGTAATGTTAAAAAAAACGATAATTTAACTCAAGAAAAATTTTTAAAACAAAAAATATTGTTATAAAGAGTTTGATCATCTTTTATTAAGAAAAAAAATTTTTAATCTAAGAAATCGTTCTTAATCTGTATTATTAGAAGAATAAGGAAAATTTTGTTTCTATAAAATTTACATAATTAAGAAATGGCTTTTTATCTTATAAAATATTGACATTTTTAATGATATAAGCTCATCCCGATGTTACACTCATCGAGACCTTTCATTTGAGTACCCACATCAATTTTTCATATATTTTATATATTTTCATATATATTATATATATGCATATATGAAAAATATATCAAAAATGCAAGTGGGTACTCAAATGAAAACTCTTGATGAGTGTAACATCAGGATGAGCTTATATCTTTAAAATATATATTATATATATGTATATATGAAAAATGCATGTGGGTACTCAAATGAAAGCTCTTGATGAGTGTAACATCGAGATGAGCTTATATCTTTAAAAAATACAATATTTAAGAAAGTACAGTGCAATTTATCAAAAGTCATTATTTAATAAAATAAAATTTTAGTTTTTATTGTTCACTTAAGAATTTTTCTGCTTGATAATAATAATGGTTTAAAAAATTTTTCTTTTAATCAAGTCAATTTTATTATCATTGCAATTGAATTTAAATCAATAGATAAATAAATTAAAAATAAAAGTAAGTAAAATACAAAAAAATGTATTTTGTTAAAAATGGAGTGAAAAAATGTAAGACAAGCAAAATGTAAATGAAAAATGTTATCCGAGGTGAAAAAAGGTCGCCGGAGGCTGATAAATAACGCATCCTACAAAAAAGGACCGATAGGAGTTGACTGTGACTCTGGTTGCGGATGACACGGAGAGAGCGCGAGTCGCCTTTGGCTCTTCGCTCCAGCTCAGAATTGAAACAAAAACAAGTAGAGTAAAGTAAAGAAATCTGAGGTAAGCTCGGCTGTATTTGAGGCCGTAGTAGCGAGGCGGCTCGATTGATTGCGTTGCAAGAAAGGCCAGCTCTCGTGCCTTCCCACCGATTCCGATACACTTACCAGGAGCTGGGACACAACTGGACAGATGGAGGCTACGCAATGTGGATACAGGTGCTGGCTCTGCTACAGGTTCTTTGATATCTTCGACGCTACCATACCATACCATTCACCTTTTATTCATTTTTTCACTTTTATTTTTACCTCTATATGTACATTTATCTTCACTTGCCCACCACCGGTGCCTACTTGTTAAAATTGCCTCGGAGATCGCGATTCAGAAAAGCGAATTTACGGGATGCTCCACGATTTGCTTTTATTTGTTAACTATACCGAACCTCCTTTGATAGTTAGCAAATCATTTTTTATTAAAGATTGATTTTTTTTAACAGAAAAAATTATTATTGAAATTATTAAGCAGCCTAATTTTCAATAAAATCATAAACAGTACTTTGTAAAATAAAATTAATGACTATTTTTCTGGTAGTAATTACCATGAAGCATTGTAACTAACTAAATAATAAATCTCACCATAATATACAGGAATTAAAGCTATCTAGAATGCTACTCAGTTCCATCTTACATAAATTTCATCACTAATAAATGAGCTGCATACCCATTAAACATTTATAATTACAGAATATTGGGTATTAAAAGTGACACCAGCATAAAAGTCATCAATTACATTCAAATGAATATTTCAATAACATATTTTGAAAATAGCATTGAAAAAAATGATTTGATAATGTGTTTTTAAAAACGCCTGATTTAAATGCTCTTGAATTTTTATTCCGATAATTAACTAAAAATTCTTCATTTCATTTAGTTTACTTTAATTTAATAATAAACCTTATTATTCTTCCAACTTTTTATTCCCAAGCTGACATAGCTTTTAACAAAATTAATAATTAGCTTTTTTATAAAAATAAAAAAAATGTTTATTACGTTTTGATTAAATAAGTTTATGATTTTATTTTCAGTTGTTTTTTTTCAAAATTTGTTCATTGTACATTATACAGTAAATTTATTTATTTATTAATGTACAACCTTACTAATTGAATTATAAATATACAGAAGATAATGAATTAGAGGATGTAGAACAGAGATCAGTTGGATTGTTACAGTATTCTTCTGAATGTAACATGCCAATAATTACAATGTATTTGTAACCGAGGTCGGTATTTACAATTGGGAAAATTACTCTGTCAAGTGTCTCTTGTCGCTGAAAAATCCTCGGTACCATCTGACATAGTAATAACTACCATTTTTCATTGGAAAAATAACTATTCTCTTCTCTACATATTGTTACACCCCCAGCTCAAAACAGTGACGGCCCTGATGGCATAATTTCTGCAAATATTTCTTTTTAAACTAACTACAATTCTATTTTTCTTTATTATTACCGAAAATTTAGATAATTAACGCCTCTTGCCACAATATTGTAGTAAATTTGAGAAAAATAAATTCTTGCTAATCAATAAGTAACTCAAAATTTCTGATCATAGTATCTAAAACTAAAAATTGTCAAGCAATAATTCTCAATCCAAATGTAACCACCTTGCCGATTCCCCAACCACCCGTTCCACGAAGCTAATCTAAAAGCGAGCAAGTACTTGCTAGAACACAATCGAGCACTGAAAAAAAAAACAAGCCGAGTCTGTTAATTGTGGTTCATCTGTTGTAACATTCACCGAGAGATAAATTGCGGAATTTATCTCTCTTCTCGGGTCTTCCTCATCGACATCGGATGCTTCTGCAGCAGGAGCACACAACCAGCTCCAGGTAGAAGTATGGGTACTTGAGCAGTAGCTGGGCTAAGCAAAGGTATTCCAGAGTGGCGAACCCAAGGCGGCCACATCAAAGAGAACCGACTCTTGCCATGCTTCGTATCATTCATTCCTCTCTCTTTCTTCATCTGTTTCGCCTCTTCCGTCCCTCTTGCTCCTATTTGCAGTCTCTATCTATCTTCTCGCAGTATAAGTACACCGAACACCGCTTTCAGCTCCACCGACCGCTGAAATTCACGCACATGCGTTTGTAGTTTATATTGAATCAGATCGAATACCCGATCCAACAGCAACTACTGTACCTTGTACCTTAACTCACGCTTTACATTGCTGCGCTACACGTGAGACCGATGTTCGATCTTCGATCATTCCGGTTCAACTGCTGTAATACCTTGCTTTACAAAAGCTACTTCTTAACTATTTCGCCTCCTTTTTTTGCAAAACAAGATTCAGTACAAGTGTTGAAGACATTTCAAGAAATTTTGACAGACTTATTTGATGATTAAACCTACAATACAACCTACTTTTCAATTTCGCACGCCTTAGGTGGGACAACTCAAATATACTCAACTTTTATTAAGAAATATGGAAATTATTTCATTTTTAACCGAGCATTCTAATCTAGGAATTAAAAAAATTGAAATTTATAAAAGTTTAGATATTTAAAAATTTCCCTATAAGAATTATTCAAAATTTCTAATTATTTTAGCTTTTTAAGATAAGCAATAAATATTTTGAAAATTATTTAATGGTGAATTTTTCTTTTTGAATATAAATTTTCTTGGTTCAAGAAACTTTGATTTTATTCAAGAAATTTTCAATCTTCCTTAATATTTTCTTGAGCCAAGAAAATTTACACTTATTCAGTCAAGAATTTTTTATTTCAGTGTAGTAAAAAAATTAAGAAAATTTAGACATTCAAGAAATATTCAACATAAGAATTGTTAAAAATTTTAATAATTTACGAAATTATAGTTATTATTTTAAAATTTGAATCTTCTAGACTTAAATACATTTTTCAACACAATTGACATGACATTTCAAGGTAATTAACCGACCCACTCGAAATTTAGTGTAAAATTCTTCAATACCTTCCTCTGTGGCCTTTTTCAGAATTTACTAAATTAAATATTACTTTTAGCAATTTTAAAATGAAAAAGTAACTTTTCTAATAATTAATTTTGTTGTTTAAAATTTTTTTATATTAAATAAATTTAGATAAAAAAATAAATTTTGTAGTTTTTTTTCGAGCTTTTAAACACGTCCTAAATTCTTACCTGATAAATATTTTGTGAACAATTGACTCATTACTAATGATTGATAACAGCAAAAAAAATAAACAATAAATAGCATTTTGTAATTACGAGCGCGACCTTGCATCATTTCCTCACTCAATAGGTGATGACAGCATTTTTATCACTATCTATATTTAGATGTATTTATAAAACATTGCTCGCTGCTGGGATTCACGGATAATAATAATAATGATAGTAAATATATTGTTTAGAGACAAATAATATTCATTGTGATCAGTCTGACGCTTAGGAGCGGAAGTCGAGCACTAATGCATGACCACTGCGTTTTGTATGACCCACATACCGTGACTACACACTTTGTGACGTCACGTCCTCTACATTGAGGTGTTTTTTAGTTGGAATTCAAATTATGAACTCTTTTTGACGGTCTATGGCACTAAATCTAACATTACAAGAACTTTATCTATTTTTATCGATTTTTATATCGAGATAAAAATAATTGGATAGTTAAAGAGCTAATAATACTACTCTAAATCGTTAAAAGAAGTTTTTGAAAAACAAAGTCTTAGTTTTTTATCAAAAGTCGACAAAAATGGAAGTAAAAAAAATTATTTTTTCCGTGATTTTTCTTTTAAAAATAACTCCACACTTATTTAAAGAGCGTGAATTCAAAAGTGCGCAAATAATATTGTTCTACTCACCATTGGGCGAGAGCAAAGCGATCAGAGGGCAGATTGTTATGTATTGGTTCATTGAGGATTTCGTAAAAGGCGATTTTTTGGCGCTTTATCATGGCTCGGAAGATAAATTTCTTTTTATTTATCACCCTGCAGAGATGAGCGGTTATATAAAAACAGGAGTGTTGCCTTCAAAGGAAAATTATTTGATGGATTCTACCTATGTTGAACAATGCACAGGTAATCACCATATTATAGCCTGATTAAATACTAAGATTACATTGATTAATTTTTACTTAATTAGGGTATATCGGAGCTTGGTTTAGAAATGATATTCTAAGAAAATCTTCTTGCCTGTCTACACATCCCGACTGGATGAGTAAACATCGGGATATTTTGATGAATATGACACTTCAGGAGTTGTTTATCCCAGGTACTCATAGTTCTGGATCGTACAGTGAAGAATTGCCGCCGACAATTCTTCAACGATACACAATTACACAGGTATTTTTTAAATTTCATATTTTTATAATCTATCTATACTAATAAATGGAGAGCTGGTTTTTTTGTCCGGTTATACTGCGAAAACTACTAAACCGATTCGGAGAAGGTTTTAGTATATGATATGGTGGTGATTACTGATCCGGAACCTATATTTTTTTGACTTAGAAATAATGAATTTTTATTGCAACTAAATTTATCCTATTCGATTGTCATTTGTTTGAAATAAATTTTTTAATTATATTAGCTATGTTTATATACGAGGCAGATTTCTTCACTATATGTTTTTTCTTCAACGTCAATATGTCAATATGTTTTTTCTTTCAAAGGGTAAGACTATTTTGGATCAGTTAATTTCGGGTATCCGTTACCTAGATCTACGACCGTGTATTATTGATGACGAATTCTGGAACTGTCATGGAGAATACGGGATTCAACCTTTTCAAAAAATAATTGACGACATTCTAGAATTTATCGTCAATACCAACGAAATAATTATCGTCGGTTTCAAAGAATTTCCACGGGGTAAGTTTTTTTTTTTTAAATTAATTACTTCCAATTTTCATAAATAATTTCACCGATCCAGGATTTTATACGAACAAGAATTACAATAAATTTTTGGACTACATCAGACGAAGCCTAAGACCTCATATCTTTCCCTACTCAACAAACGGGAAAACAACTCTAGGTAACATTTGGGAAAATGGGAAAAGGATTATATTATCTTATTGTGGGGAGTACAACGGCCACAGACAATTATTATGGACCGTAGTACATCACCAGTGGGGTAATGTTCAAAATATAGCACAACTCGAGGGATTCATCACTAATTCGGAAAATGACGCGAAAATGTGCACTTTGTAAATTTTCTTTATTAAAAATAAAGATAATCATTAATATTCAAGGACTTTTGAACTTTCAGAAAAGATATCTACGGTCTGAACCTGAGAGCGATGATGGCGGTGATAACATTGGATTCTTCAATGATAATAGTAGATGCTGCGCTTTACTATTTTGGAAGTGGTAGAGAATCATTGCGAGAACTCGCTGTTGAAATTGGCCCTCTGGTTACCATGTGGTTCAACGAAGAACACTTCTGGACAGCGAATATTGTCGCGGTTGATTTTTTTGATACTACTGGACTCATCGAAATTGCTATTAATAGCAATATTAATCGCGCTAGAAACAATTTCTAGTTAAAATTTTTTTTTTATTTCATTAATTGTTAAAAATATATTTCTAAAGACTCGAATAAAATTTTTATTTTTGGACGTCATTGTCATAAAACATTTTATTGTCAATAACTCTGATAACGAATTAAAAATAACGCATCATCCTGTTAAAAGATTATTTTTCAGCCAACAATCTACAGCATTACAATAATGTTTAAACTCAATAATATTACCAATATTATCCGTACTGTAATTTTTATCCAAATTTTTGGTAATTCTTCGGCAAATGAGTGTAATATAAGTCAAATAATTTTTTCCTATGCACCAATGAATGATAGCCATCAGATCAGAGGTCAGATTGTTATTTATTGGTTCTTAGAAGACTTCAAGCTAGGTGACCATCTCGTCCTTTATCATGATACGGCAGACTTATTTTTTTCATACTTTCCAAAAAATAGTAGTGGGTTTGTCAAAACGGGAATGACACCAGTTGACGCGAGGTACTCAATAAATTCGAAGTACATCGATCAATGTACAGGTAATTCAATTTTCAGCCATTTGATTGTAGTTTATAACAATAATTTTTTTTTGACAGGTTATTACGTAGCTTGGTTAAGAAATTATGAAATACTATTGTCAACATGTTTGTCATCTCATTCGAATTGGATGCATGATAACAGAAAAATTATTGACAATATGACTCTCGCTCAGCTATTTATACCAGGAACACATAACTCGGGATCTTACAATTACGAACTACCTCCGACGATTCTAAATCGATATACAGTAACACAAGTAATTAAGTATAAACTAAAGAATTATTAATTTCTTGAAATAACAACTTAAAAAAATTTCCTGAAGTTTTCATATATAATTTTTCCTGATAAAAAAATGTGCAATCTGGTTTCATATGTTCATATTAGATCCAATATGTTAATATGTATCCATATATAATTTTTTGATAAAAGTTAGTTTTGAAAATTTCCAACAGGTGGCGCATGGTAACTAAATAGTCTCGCTACTAGAGAGTTAAAATTTAATATATTTAGATCTAAACCAAAAATCTAGTTTTTGACTCTTCTATTGAGCTTATATGTGAATGTTTTTATTTTTACAAAAACTTTTTATGGCCATATATGATCAGATCATGCCTAATATATTTTGAAATGAAAATTTTTCCATGAGATTTAAAAAAAATTTGAACAATAACGTTTTTTAAAAAGGAAAATAGCATTATGGACCAATTACTCACAGGAATACGTTACTTGGACATAAGACCGTGTATTGTTGATAATAAATACTGGGTTTGTCATGGAACTTTTGCTATGCAGCCTCTCGAAGCTGTCATTACAGACATGAGAGATTTTTTGAACAACACTATGGAAATTGTTATTGTTAACTTCAAAGAATTTCCTCGAGGTAAATCTTTTATTTGCTTACTAATTTTCAAATGAAAAAAAAAATTTACAAACTTTAATTTGACTTAGGGTTTGAGACATTTACAAATCACTCAAACTTTCTGAGTTGTCTTGTTAGGGAATTTAAAGGATATTTTGTAATTCCGTACGAAGCTCATCCAAAGACTTTGGGTGAAATTTGGAAATCCAACATGAGACTTTTTATAAGTTACATTACTGAATCCGAAGGTAAAACTGATAGATTATGGACATCTGTAATGCAGCAATGGGGCAATGTAAAAAACGTTATAGAACTTGACAGCTTCATTGATCGATCTGAAATCATTTCCGAACTTAAATCAGAGTAAGTTGATTTATCAAAGCTTGATGGTTGCTCAAAATTTGTTAATTTCTAGCAATAAATCTCGAACAAAGGACCTGAGAGCAGTGATGGCCGAAATAACATTGGATTCTTCAATGATAATCGTAGATGCTGCGCTTTACTATTTTGGACGCGGTCGAAAATCACTACGCGAGCTAGCTGTTCAAACCGGACCTCTGGTGACGATGTGGTACAAGCAGAAACACTTCAAAACAGCAAATATTGTAGCCGTGGACTTTATCGATACCACTGGAATAATCGAAGTTGCCATTTGGAGTAACATTTACCGAGCTAAGTGCGATGTGTCTAATTAATTTGTCCAAATAAGTAATAAATCTCTGCAAGACATGTCTCATTAATTCCTTGAATAAACTTAGACTTGCATAAATCTGTCGAGCGAGCATTTAAACAAACATTCAACTAATTTGAATATCTTCTAGACTTAGATAAGGATCACGTAATCTAATAAACCTCAGTGACGATCAAGCGTCATCAAAATCAACCCCGAAAATGACTTTAGTTCAGATAAACACTACTATCACTATTATTGTAATTATTTTTGTTGCTAAAATTCTAGGAAATATTGAAAACTACTCAACTAATGAATTTCGCACGGCTCAAATAATTATTTTCTACTCACCGCTGAACAGTGAATTGATAAGAGGTCAAATTGTCATCTATTGGCACGTGCCCAATTTCATTAAAGGTGACACTCTGAACCTGTACTACGGACACCCATATTTGAACGAAATAAATGCCGATTTATTATCACGAGCCCGAGTACAAAAGTAGTGTCGTCAAAACAGGAATTCCTCCAACGCATGCGTCTTATGACGTGAGTTCGAGTTTTGTTGAGCAATGCACAGGTAAAAGATTACTGAGACAATAATTATTTGTATATCAGCAATGTGGACAAAATATGATCATAATAACAAATTACACTATTATTTCGGCGACATTTCGGTCATTTATTAGACTTATCACTATCTTGTCCACATTCCTGATATAAAAATAATTGGTGTTTTATTAATTGGTGTTTAAAATTTGTTAATATGAAGCATTTTTTAGGATATTACGGTGCTTGGATCAGAAATGACACAATTCAAAAACTTAAATGTCTATCCACGTATCCTGATTGGATGAGCAAGCAAAAAGAACATCTTAGATATATGACAATTGGGAATATTTTTATACCGGGGACTCATAATTCTGGATCGTATAGTGAAGGAATTCCTCAAACACTTACTGAAAGATATAGCGTAACCCAAGTAATTGATTTGATACTTTTTCATATTAATATCCATAAAGTTTTCATGTCAGGCCTATAATAATATAATTAATGTCAGATAAGCTTTTTAGAAGCGTCCAAAAAATGATTTTTATTTTAGAACTATATATCTTAAAATTGTATTCTCTAGTAGTGAGATAATTTAGCGACCATGCGCCACCTGTTGGATATTTATGGTACTAACATTGATAAAAAATGCAAATATCGCCATTTTAAACTATATCAGGCCAAATATGGACTATAACAACTTAGACAAGTCCTGAAGCTGCCTAATGCTCCCATATTTGGACTGATGTAGCCAATTTTCTGTTCAGGATGCGACTATACTGGATCAACTGATTTCCGGAGCGCATTTTCTGGACCTAAGACCCTGCAAGTATCAATACGACTACTGGATTTGTCATGGTTCGTACTACATGCAGCCATTTGAAGCAGTGATCCGTGATATAAAAGAATTTATGGACAATACGGACGAAATTGTGATCCTGAGCTTCAAAGAATTTCCAAACGGTACTCAAAATTTTCTAACTTTATTTTGAGACTTATTTGGTAACTAATCCGTTGATTTTACAGCAGAGCTGAACGATCACATTGCACCAATACCGTTCGGACTGCAGCGTAAAATGACTTTAGGCGAGATGTGGGATTCCGGAAAACGGCTAATTATCAGCTATGATTATAGCGTAAGATCAAAATCGTCAATGCGCAGTGGTTATAGATTCTGGGACCCGATAGTCCAAGAGTGGGGAAACGTGAATTCTCCTGAAAAACTCAAGGAATTCATTGACAAACATGAAAGTTATTCTAAAAATGCTGCTAAGTAATTAAAATTTATTTATTACTTCAAATTATTGTTTTTCTTAACTTGTCGATAGTTGAAATTTTTTTTTAGATTATGGGATGACGACCCGCTAATCTTCCGAGCGATGATGGCTGCAGTAACTTTGGATATGACCTCAATAGTAACTGATTCAGTTGCTCATTTTTTTGGCCAAGGGAGTTATTCTTTGCGGGAAATTGGTACCCAAGTTGGGCCACTAGTTACTGAATGGTACAATGAAAATTATTGTTCGTCGGCGAATATTGTAACTGTTGACTTCATCGACGCAACGGGAATCGTCCCAGTTGCGATTTATTGGAATAAAATCCGGGGGGAGCGCAATTATGCAAAAAAGATTAATAGCTCAAATATTTAACAGTGTCTTTTTTATCGGGTGTTAATATCAAGTTTTAAATTCATTGGATGAAGATTATATGATAATTATTGTAGATTACATCGCGATACGGCTGATTATGTAACTACGTCATCAGTGTGACTGCCGAGAATTAAGAATTATGATTAAAAGAATTTTTGCATAATTATTTATTAGTGTTATTCATTTTTAGAATAAGTTTTGGAAATAATATTGCTGTCATAGGTTTAATTATTAATTAATTGAACCTATGAACAAATTAATAGAACCAACAAACTATTCAGAACTCCTTCAAAAAATTTACTATAACCAAAAAATATATACAATCGAAAAATGACACAAGCTTTGGTCAAAACCGTTTTGAATCATCAAAATTTAACCAAATTTTAAGATAGTTGGTTTTTTGAGATTTTATTTTTTTAATTAGAATAAAATTGTAAGTGTCAAACAACTAGGCTTTTTTACCTTACATACAAATCAAAATAAACGACTAAAAAAATTTTAATAAGCGCAAAATTAGAATCTATTTAAAATTACTCAAGAAGCATATCGAAGGTCTAATTAGCGATTTGTCTAACTCCTTATTTTTTAGAGGGTGATTTTTTAACATTTTGATGTTAGTAATAATCCAATTATAAAATATTTGAATGATTCAAACCTAAATATCATATCTCTATTAGACATTAATGATATTAAATGGCTTTTTAAAGTAATAATAAATTTTAAAATTAGACAATTCGCTAATTATAACGTCGATATGAACCTTTGAAAAATGAACAAATTCAATACCTTGTCAATTATCCAAAATTTAACGAAAAAAATCCTATAAATCTTCCAGAGCAAAAATTTTCTAATTTAATTACATACACTGCAAAAAAAAGTATAAGTCCTATAGCAATACGTTTAAGCGTATAGCTTATATCCCTATTAAATACGCCATTTGTATAAGCTATACACTTAAACGTATTGCGATAGGACTATACTTTTTTTTTCAGTATAATTATAATTTCCAAAATTATTCTATAAAAAAATCAAAAATTTTCCTTTATTCAGACACCACCCTTTAATTTAAAATATCTCAGAGTTTATTCACTTCTATCAGATATCAAGAATCCAAGTGGCGCCACCTCTCGGCAAATTGACCAACTACGAGGTATGTATAAAGCGCTAAGCGAGCGTGTGTAGACTGATGGACTGATGGTTGTTCTTCTTTATCACCCGCATATCTTGCAGAGATTCACGCCTCTAGGCGCAACAATAATTATTTCTACGAACATGATTATAATTCATGCACGAACAGCACATAACGATAAAAAATAATCCTACGGCGTGTCCTCAATACCGGCGATGCTAATGTATGATAGACAAACTGAATAAAATATTTATTTATTCTGACCATAAGCACACAGGTTTGTTTTTATTTAATTTTGCGTTAATAATCTTCCACCAAAGATTAAATATTAATTTTAATCTGAATAAAATAACAATAAATATCTGTTCAATTAATCTTTTTCATTATTCGAAGGTACTTTGTGAATATATTGTTCAATTTAGATTATATTGTAGCATTTTTGTTTCACTCCGTGAAAATAAAAAGTTGTTACCGAGTGTAGAGTGTGACGATTCACACGTCTAACAGCCAATTAACGTCGGCAAACTACTTAATAACATAACGGTCAATTTGCCGCCACCTATTAGTATGAGGGTAATGATACCTCCACGAGATCATTTATTGTTAATTATTCTTATACATACATATATATATATATATATATATATATATATATATA